GTTAGAGATTTGAACGCAGTTTCATAGTTTAATAATACTTATAAACAATGTAAATTGTTTTTTTTTATCTTCATTTATTATCTTCTAAATTCTTCTACTATTCTTTTAAGAGTTTAATTGAAATGCTAAACTAAAAGGAAAGTTTATCTTCCTTTAACTGCTTGTTGTGCACTTTAAATTGAATTGAGACAAAAGATTGAAAGCAAACGTAGAAATGTAAATTCAAACTTAAGCTGTGGCATAGCAAAAAGAAAAAAATTTAGTCACCATTAAAATACGGCCACTATTAAGTTGAAATATTAGATGCCATTTGACTAAACCAGTAGTAAGAGTAGACTAACACACACCCTTTACAATTTCCCACACCACTATCACCAAACAGCTACTCTAGTATAACAAAACATTCTTCAAAGTCTGGGCAACGCAACTTAAAAAGTGGAAAAAATGCTTACAACTTGCAGAAGAAGCAAAAAACTAAAATAAATGTTAAAACTTTTCCCCAACATAATCTCAGGAAAAGAAATTTTGTAGCTTATGAACAGGAAGTAAACCATGGTTAACGATATCATAGCTAAAGCAAAAACAACAACAAATAAACTAGTGAGTGCTTTGCTTTTAAACTTTGAACTATGCTGTGTTTGAGGTATATGCTCCAACAAAAAAATGGTTACCAGAAGAAAAAAAATCAACAACCTTATAGATAAAACAGGTCAGGATATATATATAGGAACAAACATTTTGAGTTTTTTCTTTCTCTTTATTAGTGTAAAAGTAGGAAAACTGTCTAAAGGAATGAATAAATGAATGAATGGTTTGTTTATAGGGAGCAGTTTTTTTTATAGAAATCCCAAGCAAAACCGTTTAAATAGCACCTGTGTATTGGCTAACAGAGGGTGAGGTGGTAAATCTAAATATGGCCATCGAGTAAATACGTAAGTTTGTTTTAAATTAGCTGCTTTTTATACCCTACACCACTTTAGTGGGGAGGGTATATTGGGTTTGTGCTGATGTTTGTAACGCACAATAATATTGGTCCTATACCTTAAAGTATACCAATCGGCTTAGAATCATTTTCTGAGTCGATTTATCTATGTTCGTCTGTCCGTCCATCCGTCTGTCTGTCTGTCCGTCCGTCCATGTAAACCTTGTAATCGAACTACAGGTCACAATTTTCAAGATAATTGAAATTTGGTGCATAATCTTCTATTGTCCCATGGACGAAGCCTATTGAAAATGGTTAAGATCGGTCCATTATTTCACCTAGCCCCCATACAACTGAACCCCCCGAATAGGGCTTGTAAACCTTGTAATCAAACTACAGGTCACAATTTTGATGATAATTGAATGAAATTTGGCCCATGATCTTCTATGGTACGGGAGACGAAGTCTATTGAAAATGGTTAACATCGGTTTATGATTTCACCTAGCCCCCAAAAAACTGAACTGGACTTATAGGGCTTTCAAGTTCATAATATAATCGTATCTCGACAAAAAGCTGAAAAACTAAGGCCTAGCCATTATGACTCTCATGAATTTTATAATTATAGGGTCTCCATTTGACCATAGCCCCTATACAAATCCTCCTTCAAAATTTAACTTAAATCTTCACAATTTTATTCAACAATAAATGATTTAAGTATATCTGAGACAAGGTACAATTCAACTTAAATGCTTTAGTGTGAAAACTAAATCACATTTTATTTTTGTAACAGGTGTAGGGTATTATATGGTCGGCCTCGCTGACTATAATTTCTTACTTGTTTACTTCTTCAGCTGCTTAAAAATGAACGAATTGGTCTTTTTTTTTGAGGGAGTGAAATTACTTTCAAAAGTTTTTCCATTTTTCAACGGAAATCTTTAGAAATTGCCACAGATTATTATAAAAGACATAGTTAAAGATGTTAAAAAGTTTGTATAAAGTAATATAGATAAAATTACTTTTATTATTTGTAAGAAAATAACGCTAAACTGGGTTTAGTTAACTGCAGTTTAGTTAAACTTTTGTTTCAATGCTTTAAAAGTAATTTAAATTATACAGAAAATTATTTACAAATACTTTACTGTATTAATAGCTGTTTATACAAATGCTAAAAACTTGCTTTTTAGCCGTTTAACTAAGCTTTAGTTAACTAAACTTAGATTAATAACAAAAATTCTAACAGCAAATTGTTCCCTTAATCAAGCTTAATTATATAAAGCGAAAATTTTTAGTTAAACTTAGTTTAAGCAAGTTTAGTTAAACTTGGTTTTTGCAAGATTTACTAATTTTAATATATATTTTTAAAAGCTAATTAAATATAATATATTTTAAACTAATAACCAAGGAGCTTAAATTAACTTAAACCAGTTTTAAACTAGATTAAAGCTTTAACAATCTCATTTCAATTAAAAAAAAATTTACCTGAAAAAGTTTAAATAAATTTCTGAAAAAAATTAATCCTTTTAATTCAAACTTATTGTAATCAAACAATCTCTTTAATCTCCTTCAAATGTTATTAACAAATTTCAATTAATTCATTTAAATTTAATTAATTTTTTTTTATCATTAAAAAAAAAATTTCCCCCAATTTGTTAACTAATAATAACAAGTATTTTTATTAACCCTACAATTTGTATTATTTTGTTAAATTATTGTAATTAATTTGTTAATGTTTAGTTAATTAATTTTTTTTATTCCACCAACATAATTTACTCTTTATGGCTCATAAAAACTGCAGCAGCAGCAACCAAAGCCAATAAAAAATTATTTAAATAAATTTAACAAAATTTAACATTAATGACTTTAAGTTTAACTGCATATTGAACTGGGTGTTGGATATCTGACGTCAATGGTTAGCCGACAACTGTACTGGGTTTAGATAGTTGGCTGGTTGATGAATGTTGAACAATATTTTGGGGGCGCTCAAAGATTTGTGTGCATTAGGAGGAAAGACTGACAATGAGGAAAAAAGATTTTTATAAATAAGTTACAAGGAATACAAAATTACAAAAATATTAAAATAATTTTGAATGTTGGTACAACTTGTGCTAACCAGGTTTCAAAAGAACGTGGCCTAAGCACATTAATCGATTGAAATGGACATCTAAGTAAGCTTCAGATCTAGTTCAGTTCTAGTTCTGTTCCAGTTCAGTTCTAGTTATGTTCTAGTTCTGTTCTAGTTCTGTTCTAGTTCTGTTCTAGTTCTGTTCTAGTTCTGTTCTAGTTCTGTTCTAGTTCTGTTCTAGTTCTGTTCTAGTTCTGTTCTAGTTCTGTTCTAGTTCTGTTCTAGTTCTGTTCTAGTTCTGTTCTAGTGCTGTTCTAGTTCTGTTCTAGTTCTGTTCTAGTTCTGTTCTAGTTCTGTTCTAGTTCTGTTCTAGTTCTGTTCTAGTTCTGTTCTAGTTCTGTTCTAGTTCTGTTCTAGTTCTGTTCTAGTGCTGTTCTAGTTCTGTTCTAGTTCTGTTCTAGTTCTGTTCTAGTTCTGTTCTAGTTCTGTTCTAGTTCTGTTCTAGTTCTGTTCTAGTTCTGTTCTAGTTCTGTTCTAGTTCTGTTCTAGTTCTGTTCTAGTTCTGTTCTAGTTCTGTTCTAGTTCTGTTCTAGTTCTGTTCTAGTTCTGTTCTAGTTTTGTTCTAGTTATGTTCTAGTTTTGTTCTACTTCTGTTCTAGTTCTGTTCTAGTTCTGTTCTAGTTTTGTTCTAATTCTGTTGTAGTTCTGTTCTAGTTCTGTTCTAGTTCTGTTCTAGTTCTGTTCTAGTTCTGTTCTAGTTCTGTTCTAGTTCTGTTCTAGTTCTGTTCTAGTTCTGTTCTAGTTCTGTTCTAGTTCTGTTCTAGTTCTGTTCTAGTTCTGTTCTAGTTCTGTTCTAGTTCTGTTCTAGTTCTGTTCTAGTTCTGTTCTAGTTCTGTTCTAGTTCTGTTCTAGTTCTGTTCTAGTTCTGTTCTAGTTCTGTTCTAGTTCTGTTCTAGTTCTGTTCTAGTTCCGTTCTAGTTCTGTTCTAGTTCTGTTCTAGTTCTGTTCTAGTTCTGTTCTAGTTCTAGCTCTGTTCTAGTTCTGTTCTAGTTCTGTTCTAGTTCTGTTCTAGTTCTGTTCTAGTTCTGTTCTAGTTCTGTTCTAGTTCTGTTCTGTTCTAGTTCTGTTCTATTTCTGTTCTAGTTCTGTTCTAGTTCTGTTCTATTTCTGTTCTAGTTCTGGTCTAGTTCTGTTCTAATTCTGTTCTAGTTCTGTTTTAGTTTTGTTCTAGATCTGCTCTAGTTCTGTTTATACTTAGTTTAATGTTAACTAAATAATAAAATATTATTTAAATAAAAATCGATTTCAATTTGTTTTGGAATGCTCCTTTTACCAAACTGTAGTTGTTAAAGAAGTTCCCTTACTTTGGCGATTTAAATATGTTTATTCTCCCCTTTCAACCTTTTTCCTTTAAATGACAATTTTAGTCTCATTTCAAATCCTTATATTTTAACCTCTATTTCCACTATTCAAATAATCTGTAAATATTAAAAAATATTCTGATGAAATGAGTAAGTAGTTCTAGTAAAAATTTACTTTCTTTGAGTTGGGTAAACTTAACACCAATAAAGTAAATGGAAATTTTTTTGTTGCCTTTTAAAATGTAAATCATGTATTTATTACTGGGTTTTTCTAAGGCTTTTTCCATCAAAAAGGATTTTAAATGGAAAAAGAGATATTGTAACAGAAAATAGAAAAAAAAAAATAAGCACAGTTAATATTAAATATAGTTAAGTATGGAAGAAACTATATAAAAAGGATTTACATATTTACAGCAAAATAAAGATATTACTTTTAGTTAAAGGAAAAAGTAGGTTGCTAAGTTACAATATTAACTATAACTTTTTATTGGTGAATTTGAAAGAAATTTAGAAAAATTATAAAATATTTTATGTCGATATTTAATCAGTCTACTGAAAGGTATAGGATTAAATTTTAAGTAAATTTTAGGCACAGAATAAAAATATCCGAATAGTACTTTTTACTAAGCATCTTATATTTTCTCTTTATTTACAGAATTTCATCACTTAATAAGGCGTTTTTTTTTATAAAATCCCAAGGTAAATTTTATTTTTTAAAAAAAACAAATTCAACTTGTCTTATATGAAATCATCACTTTTTCTTTATATTTAAACAAACCAACACAAAACCACTTGACGTCATTATTATATTTCAAAACAATTTCTTAGAATTCTAAACAAATATTTGTCAAGGATTTTTTTAAAAACCCAAAATAAAACAAATTTCATATGAGAACTAAAACTTCCACAGAAGCAAAAATTGTTAACTTAACACTTCATCACATTATTAAAAACTAAAACTAAAAACCTGATAATTAAGCCACTGACCAATTGTTTAAATTATTTATAAAGTTCCCCTGTAAAAAATGCATCTTTCTATTTCATCATTGTCATTATATTTTATAAACTTGTTTTTTTTTAGAAAAAACAAGTTAATAAACATTAATTTTAATCATTTAATTTTAGCTCACATCTTTAGAAGTTCCAACAAATAACAAACGTTAAAGTTATTTGAATTGTTAATTAAATTTAAGAGATTGTTTATTTCCTTTCTTCTTTGTTCTTTATTGATTTATTAGAGAATATATAAATTTTATTCTCGTAACACGTTTCAAATGGTTACTAAATCTCATTGACAACTTCCCACACCGACTGAATGCATAAAGATACTTTAAATTTGCAAGTGTTGCCAACAGTTTAAGAAAGATTAGATGCTGTTCTAGTTCAGTTCTAGTTCAGTTCTAGTTCAGTTCTTGTTCAGTTCTTGTTCAGTTCTTGTTCAGTTCTACTTCAGTTCTAGTTCAGTTCTAGTTCAGTTCTAGTTCAGTTCTAGTTCAGTTCTAGTTCAGTTTTAGTTCTGTTCTAGTTCTGTTCTAGTTCTGTTCTAGTTCTGTTGTAGTTCTGTTGTAGTTCTGTTCTAGTTCTGTTCTAGTTCTGTTCTAGTTCTGTTCTAGTTCTGTTCTAGTTCTGTTCTAGTTCTGTTCTAGTTCTGTTCTAGTTCTGTTCTAGTTCTGTTCTAGTTCTGTTCTAGTTCTGTTCTAGTTCTGTTCTAGTTCTGTTCTAGTTCTGTTTTAGTTCTGTTCTAGTTCTGTTCTAGTTCTGTTCTAGTTCTGTTCTAGTTCTGTTCTAGTTCTGTTCTAGTTCTGTTCTAGTTCTGTTCTAGTTCAGTTCTAGTTCGGTTCTAGTTCGGTTCTAGTTCAGTTCTATTTCAGTTCTAGTTCAGTTCTAGTTCAGTTCTAGTTCAGTTCTAGTTCAGTTCTAGTTCAGTTTTAGTTCAGTTTTAGTTCAGTCCTAGTTCAGTTCTAGTTCAGTTCAGTTCTAGTTCAGTTCTAGTTCAGTTCTAGTTCAGTTCTAGTTCAGTTCTAGTTCAGTTCTAGTTCAGTTCTAGTTCAGTTCTAGTTCAGTTCTAGTTCAGTTCTAGTTCAGTTCTAGTTCAGTTCTAGTTCAGTTCTAGTTCAGTTCTAGTTCAGTTCTAGTTCAGTTCTTGTTCAGTTCTAGTTCTGTTCTAGTTCTGTTCTAGTTCTGTTCTAGTACAGTTCTAGTTCAGCTCTAGTTCAGTTCTAGTTCAGTTCTAGTTCTGTTCTAGTTCAGTTCTAGTTCAGTTCTAGTTCAGTTCTAGTTCAGTTCTAGTTCAGTTCTAGTTCAGTTCTAGTTCAGTTCTAGTTCAGTTCTAGTTCAGTTCTAGTTCAGTTCTAGTTCAGTTCCAGTTCAGTTCTAGTTCAGTTCTAGTTCAGTTCTAGTTCAGTTCTAGTTCAGTTCTAGTTCTGTTCTAGTTCTAGTTCTAGTTCTATTCTAGTTCTGTTCTAGTTCTGTTCTAGTTCTGTTCTAGTTCTGTTCTAGTTCTGTTCTAGTTCTGTTCTAGTTCTGTTCTAGTTCTGTTCTAGTTCAGTTCTAGTTCTGTTCTAGTTCTGTTCTAGTTCTGTTCTAGTTCTGTTCTAGTTCTGTTCTAGTACAGTTCTAGTTCAGCTCTAGTTCAGTTCTAGTTCTGTTCTAGTTCTGTTCTAGTTCTGTTCTAGTTCTGTTCTAGTTCTGTTCTAGTTCTGTTCTAGTTCTGCTCTAGTTCTGTTCTAGTTCTGTTCTAGTTCTGTTCGAGTTCTGTTCTAGTTCTGTTCTAGTTCTGTTCTAGTTTTGTTCTAGTTCTGTTCTAGTTCTGTTCTAGTTCTGTTCTAGTTCTGTTCTAGTTCTGTTCTAGTTCCGTTCTAGTTCTGTTCTAGTTCCTTTCTAGTTCTGTTCTAGTTCTGTTCTAGTTCTGTTGTAGTTATGTTCTAGTTCTGTTCTAGTTCTGTTCTATTTCTATTTTTTCAATTTCATTGAAGCATAAATTTTTACTGAAAAACTAACCCTTAGAATAAGGATTTATATCCCAGTTTTAAAAGCAAAGTAACAAAACAAATATGGAATTTTATAGTGGCAGTCTTTAACAGTAGGTGTAAAAAGTATGCCACCAAATTTAAATCACAAATGTTTTATAACAAAATTAAAAGCAATCAATTGAATAAAAAGTTAAAGTTATCTTGATAGTTTTGATAGGTTAGCAAACTGATAGAGACTTTTAGGAAATGGACTTTTACCACACACTGTATTTTATAGCATAAGCATAAATTCATAAAATTCCTTACTTTATCTAAATATTTTCAACATGCATTTCTTTTAAAACATTTAAATACCAAGTAAGGGGAATATAATTTTTTTGTTTTTTACAAAAGTGTCACATTTAATGCTTTTCTAAGCTTTTTTTATAAAAGAATAAAAAAAATCATTATTCATTATGTTACACTACTTTTACTGGTTACCAACTATGTATGCATAACTATCTGTCTATGTAAATTTTGCACAAAAAATATATATTTACTTGGTAGAAATATTAGAAAAATATAAAAAAAACTAAAGCAAAAATTCTATTTATATTCATATTCAGCTCAGTTCTATACAACTAAAGTGATGTAAAGTAGAAAGTGTGATTAACTATGGAATACAATGACGAGGAACGAGTACTTGTATTCTTCACCTGGTAAATTGTTGTAAACATTTTGCAAAGATTTACTTGTGAGATTTAACAAATGTTTAACTAGAATTAAATAACATTTACGTTTTGTGTTTAACACTTTTGTTGTAGCTTCTAGTAAAGATAAAGTTCAATGATCTCTGGTTAGGGGAATAAGTGTTAAGAGAGTTTCGTTTAGGTAAATATTGATCTAAAATGTAAGCAAATATTTTAAAGTATATAATAAGAGTTTTATTATTAAAGGTGTCAAGTCAAATTTAAACAAATAATTATTGTTAATTTAGTGTTCAAAGCCATAAAGGCTAAATCCAAAAACAAGTTAGTTTAACCACAAGTTAAACTCTAAACTAAAATTACTAAAAATTAATGACTGTTATCTATTTCCTATGACCACGTTTCTTTACGTTTCTTATTTAATTCTTTATTATTTTTTAATATTTCATAAATTCAAAATAACAGAAATTTCAAACGCTTCAACAGAATTAAAGCTTAAAAATAAACCCGGCCTGACTACATAATACGGCTGAACTTTGCATAATTTCTAAAACAAAAACTACTAAAACAATATACAAATAACATAAAATAAAGAAAGAATGAACGAAAATCTATAAACATTTTTCTGGTCACGTACAAATTTCAATCAAGTGTAAACGACAGAGGTTTCTTTTCATACTATTTCTCTATATATATTTGTATGGTAACATCTTGCTAAAATATGAATACTTACAGCACATAGAAAAAATATATATATATTTATATCTATATGACTATAAAATGCATCTAAATTCTTAAGAGCTCTCTTCTTTAATGTGCAAAAAATAAACCATTAGCTAGTTGGTTATTTATTCGTTGTACAAACTAACCACTAGTATCTGCAGAAACCTCTACATGATTATCAAAATTAGCCACAACTTCAAAAATATGTAATCTAAAATGTGAAAAAGAAACATAAAATTTTAATTTCATATGAATACGCATGCGTATCCTGGTCAACTTTATTTTTAAGCTCATCGTCATGCGGTTGTTTTTGTTTATGTATAGTTCGAATAAATAAAATTACTTCAAATCAACATTATCGTAAATATTTTATCTAAAGAACAAGTTGTTTAGATAAACTAAGTTTAAATTCAATTATTAAACACATTAATTATTTTCAAAGTTAAGAAGGTAACGGAAATTATAATCAGAAAAAGTTAGTATTTAGAATATTATTGATAAAAACTAATAAATAACTAAAACAGAACTAGAACAGAACTATAACAGAACTAGAACAGAATTTTAACAGAACTAGAATAGAACTAAAACAGAACTATAACAGAACTATAACAGAACTAGAACAGAACTAGAACAGAACTAGAACAGAACTAGAACAGAACTAGAACAGAACTAGAACAGAACTAGAACAGAACTAAAACAGCACTAGAACAGAACTAGAACAGAACTAGAACAGAACTAGAACAGAACTAGAACAGAACTGGAACAGAACTAGAACAGAACTAGAACAGAACTAGAACAGAACTAGAACAGAACTAGAACAGAACTAGAACAGAACTAGAACAGAACTAGAACAGAACTAGAACAGAACTAGAACAGAACTAGAACAGAACTAGAACAGAACCAGAACAGAACTAGAACAGAACTAGAACAGAACTAGAACAGAACTAGAACAGAACTAGAACAGAACTAGAACAGAACTAGAACAGAACTAGAACACAACTAGAACACAACTAGAACACAACTAGAACACAACTAGAACAGAACTAGAACAGAACTAGAACAGAACTAGAACAGAACTAGAACAGAACTAGAACAAGAACTAGAACAGAACTAGAACAGAACTAGAACAGAACTAGAACAGAACTAGAACAAAACTAGAACAGAACTAGAACAGAACTAGAACAGAACTAGAACAGAACTAGAACAGAACTAGAACAGAACTAGAACAGAACTAGAACAGAACTAGAACAGAACTAGAACAGAACTAGAACAGAACTAGAACAGAACTAGAACAGAACTAGAACAGAACTAGAACTAG